CCACCAGAGCTCAGGGGTGTTTCTCCTCTTTGTTGCTTGGAGGCCCCAGTCCACCAGACAGTGTCACCCACGTTCAAGGCAGGTCTCTCCCCTGTTAATTCTCTCTGAAAACATGCCCATATAGACACACCCGGAGATGTGCCTCCGTCTCCTCGGAGAACCTAAGCCCAGTCGAGTTGACAGTAATCAGCTATTGTGCTGGGTGTGATGGACCCCAAAAAGTCAGGAAGCAGACACAGGAGGTCCCCCAGAAATTCAAAGCCAGCCAGCCTGGCTTACCTAGTGAGTTCCAGACAAGTCAATGTTGCCCAGACGAGAAGCCGGGCGTGGTGGCTCGCGCCTTTAATCCCAGCACTCAGGAGGCAGAGGCAGCTGAATCTCTGTGAGTTCGAGGCCAGCCTGGTCTACAGAGTGAGTTCCAGGACAGCCTCCAAAGCAATACAGAGAAACCCTGTCTCGAAAAACAAAAAACAAAACAAGAAAAGAGAATGATTACGAGAGACGGACAGACAGAGAACCATTCCCTCCGAGGGAGGAGTGAGAAAGTACAGATCCCAGGGGTGGGAATGAGCTTGCTCTTTAGAGAAAAAGACGAGGGGAAGCAACTGAGACGGTGGCAGGAGATGTCAGAGGCGCCAGGGCACGGCCTGCTTCCCCCTTCCCTCCCCACTTATGACCTCGGCCCCACCTATCCCTAACTCCAGCCTAGACTTCTTCCCATTGTGGCTGAGAAGGCAATGACCGCATCCTTTCCTAGATGACACCCTACCACCCGTCCCTGGGAGCCGGTGGCATCATTCGGTCTCCCAGAGGCACTGGGGCCCAGCAGCTGCTGGCCCCGGAGAGTCTTCTCTTTTGACACAGCTGTTTCTAGGACTCCTGGACTCACCATACAATGGACTCACGCTGGCCTTCCTGCCTTCTCCATCTAACCAGACCTGCGCTGTGCCCTGGGTATCCTGGTGTAGGAGAGAGTGAGTCTTACCCTCCTCTGCACCCCAAGGACTGCCACAGGGCTGGTCTCTGAGAAGCATTTGACGGACAGAAGGATGGACATGGACTCAAGTCCAGGCAGTCCTAAATATTGGATACTGTGCCAGGACAAGAAGCCAGGTTGACTCCACTCAGTGTTCATGGGCAAAGAGCTCTTCCCCGGTCTAAGAGTCTAGAGCCACTCGGGTCCCACTTTAGTCTGCTGTCACCTTGGGAAGCCTTGGGTCTACACTGAGCTGGGGTTAATGGCTGGTTCATGACTGTCCAAGCTGAGCCTCAGTACCCGTCTGAGACTCTCAAATACTCATGGAGGTGGCTCAACAGAAGCATTGTCACGCAGGAGTCAAAGTTAGGTCTTAGGTAGGGGTGTGTGTGTGTGTGTGTGTGTGTGTGTGTGTGTGTGTGTGTGTGTGTGTGTGTGTGTGTGTGTGTGTGTGTGCGCTCGTATCTCCAGGGATGGGATGTGCCTGTGTGTTCACATCTGGTAACTACGTCACAGCAGCAAGCTGGGAGTGTCCCAGGCTGCTGCTCTAAGGTCTCTGCAGTGTCCAGAACAGAGGTAGGGTGAAACTTTGGCAGTGCCACAGCAGCAGGTGGCCCTAGCTGAGCATGCTCACAAAACTGTCCATACATAGGGTCTTGGTGGCCATCCACACTGCTGCCCAGAAGTAGTGTCCACCCTACCCTCACATAGACCTTCTGTGGGTGTACCACAGAGACTGAAGGAAACTGAGGACAAGCTTCTCAGTGGCCTGGACCTCCAGAGCCCTAGAAGCATCTAACACACACTCTAACCCAGGAATGACGCCTGGAAAAAATTCTAGGTTAGACAGGCAAGGTGTCAGCTACCCCAACCAGAAAGGAGCACCCTCTTAGACCCCTGTGTCCCTGCTCAAGAGAATGGGGATACTTAACCAGGACCCAAGTTATCCTGAGAGGAAAGTGTTGGACAAGGACACTGAGGAACAGGAAGCCTAAGTGACTCCCCTGAGCTCACACAGATGCAAGGGAGAAGAAGCTGGCTCCAGAAGCCGGGGTTCTGGCTCCTGGCCGGGTGCCACCACCACACTCCTGCCCCCCAACCCCCACCCCATGATGTGATTCTGGAAACTACCCTAGTTCTAATTTACAAAATGAGTCAAGGAAATCTGTGCCTCCTGGGGCAGAAAACAATCCCAGGGACTCCCTGGCCAGAGGCTCCCATCATTCTGAGTGTTTGGAACAGCTCTTCTAGAGAACCTAATCATGACACACAATTTACTCCACTTTCTCATCCTGCTCTTTGCCCAAACCCATTGGGCAGGAATTACCATGAAGGCACAAAGTATTTGTTCAGGAACACAAAGGCAGTTCTGGTTCTGACCCTTGGGCCACCTCCAAGCCCAGAACTGGCCCCGGGCCAGTTCCTTCTCGGACTCTCCAGCACCTGGGCAGGTTTGGGTGCTCACCCCCAAGTCCAAATTCCCATTTTTAATGTTTTTACTATAAAAGGCATGATGTGTGCCTACTTGGGAAAATCTGAAAAATGCAGAAAAGTCAAAATAAGGAAGAAAGATCACCACCCACAGCCCCACCACCCGGGCCCAGTCATTGTTAGGACTTGATGTATTTCCGTCCATAGTGTTTTGTTTGACGGCTGTTTTAAAAAGCATAGCTGAGATCACACTGTATATTAAAAGAGGAAAAAAAAAAAAAAAAGAAGTCCAAACGGTAGTATCCTGCTTTTCTGGCCTGCCATTTTATCCCAGGCTCTTTTTTTTTTTTTCTTTTGGTTATTTTACCTCGGGCCTGGCTTCCTTTCTCCATCTCTGAGCCTCATTTTTATTGGCTGCCTAATATTTTATCAAGTGAATGTTCCATAGTTGACTTAGCCATTCCCTTGTTGTTGGACACCTCCATTATTTCCAGTTTGGGGGAGTTATAAATAACGGGCTTTGACTGGTATCTTTGTGCGGAAAGTGTCCTGTTTTCCATAGTTAGGGGTAGCTCCTTAGCTGCAGTGGAATTTCTGGGTTGATGAGGCATGTGTTCCCTGGAGCCCTTGGCTCAATAGCCTCCCAGAGGATATGGCCATGCCTGGTTACACATGGTTGCAGAGGGTATGGCCATGCCTGGTTGACACATGGTTGCAGAGGGTATGGCCATGCCTGGTTGACACATGGTTGCAGAGGGTATGGCCATGCCTGGTTGACACATGGTTGCAGAGGGTATGGCCATGCCTGGTTGATACATGGTTGCAGAGGGCTTAGAAGTAGTAGGAGTGTCCGCTGCTACTTGGACAATCGGTGGTGCCCTTCGCCTTCATCTGTAGCTCATTTGCCATCCGTGACTCTCCCTCCGAGCACACTCATTCACTCATTTTGGTACATAAGGGGAAGGCAACTGTGGCCAGGCACAGGGCTAGACTCCAGGATGCTGCAGGGACACCCCGCCATCAGGACAAGAAGGGAAGGCACTAAGCCAATGGAAGGTAAATACATACCTCTGAAATTTGGTTATATGCAAATCAAGGTGCTGGTGGCTGGCCATCTCATTTGCATGCCTCCCCAGAAGAGGAGGTGACATTGACTTCCTCTAAAACTTGGATGGAAGAAACGAAAATGTCTTTAACTCCAACCCTTGGGAAGCAGAGGGAGGCGGATCTCTGAGTTCCAGGACAGCCAGGGCTACACAGAGAAACCCTGTCTCAAAAAATCACAACAAAACAAAACAAAAACCTCCACAAACTTAGATGGAGCTGGACAGGGCCTTTAATCCCTCAGCACTCAGGAGGCTGAGGCAGGTAGATCCCTACGAGTTCAAGGCCAACCTGATCTACAAAACAAGTTCTAGGACAGTTAAGGCTACAGAGTGAGACCCTGTTTCAAAAGTAAGGGGCGGCCAGACAGTGGTGGTGCATACCTTTAATCCCAGCACTCGGGAGGCAGAGGCAGGTGATCTCTGTGAGTTCAAGACCAGCCTGGTCTACAAGAGCTAGTTCCAGGATAGCCTCCAAAGCCACAGAGAAACCCTGTCTCAGAAAAAAAAAAAAAAAAGTAAGGGGCTGGAGAGACGGCTGGCTCAGTTAAGATCCTACTGTTCTTCCAGAGAACCTGAGTTCAATTCCCAGCACCCGCATGGCAGCTCACAACTATCTGTAACCGGAGTTCCAGGTGAATGCAGCATTCTCTGCTGGCCTCTATAGGCGCTATACCCACTCGGTTCAAAGACACCCATACACATAAAATAAGAATAAAGCTGTATGGCCCCGGGTTCAATTTTCTGTACCCTAAAGCAAAGCAAACCTTGCTGGGTCTCTAATTCCCTTTCCTGTTGCTGTCATATCACGCCCTGACAAAAAGCAACCAGGGATTAAAGGGTTTATTTGCTTTACTATTCCAGGTCACAATCCAACACTGGGGAAAGGCAGGACCGGAACTCCAGACAGGAACCTGGAGGAAGGCTGCTGCCTGGAAGGCAGCCTCCTCCTCAGCTGGCTTTCTTTTTTTTTTTTTTTTTTTTTTTTTTTTGGTTTTTCGAGACAGGGTTTCTCTGTGGCTTTGGAGGCTGTCCTGGAACTCGCTTGGTAGTCCAGGCTGGTCTCGAACTCACAGAGATCCGCCTGTCTCTGCCTCCCGAGTGCTGGGATTAAAGGCGTGCGCCACCAACGCCCGGCTCAGCTGGCTTTCTTGTATAGCCTAGGACTATCCTGCCCAGGGAATGGCGCTGCCTACAGTGGACTGGGCCCTCTTCTCTTATTTTATTTTGTTGTTTTGGTTTTTCGAGACAAGGTTTCTCTGTGTAGCCCTGACTGTCCTGGAACTCGCTCTGTAGACCAGGCTGGCCTCGAACTCACAGAGATCTGATTTGCCTCTTCTTCCCAGGAATTAAAGGTGTATTAAATTGCTGGGATTAAAAGGTGTACTCCATCAAACCCAACTAGGCCGGACTCTCTTACATCAATTAATAATCAAGACAATACCTTCCAGACACATGCTTCTACCAACACAATGAGGACAATTACCCAATTGAGACTCCTTTTTCAGGTTCATTCTAACCCGTGTCATGGTGACAGAGCTAACAAGTCAGGCGGTTTCCTCAAAGCCTGGACTTCTGGCTTCTTCTGGGCCCAGTGCTCTCAATTCTTTGGTCATCTTTACCAAGCACAGCGGAGCTGCAATGACAAAGAAAAGATTTGAACCTACAAACGCACTTCCCAAACTCACCATGCTGCTAGTCCTAGGGGAAATCTTTAAGAGATGCGAGGCCTCGCAGGTGGACAGACTGTACTGCCAAGGCCTGTGGCTGTTCGGAGTGTCTCCCCTGGGGAAAGGAGACTGGTAGCCGGAACTCACAAATCAGGTTGGAGATTTCCTATTCCTTTGACCTGGGGCTCCCTCTGCTCAGAATGCTTTCGCCCTTTCTCTCCCAACTTGATGTTGAATGAGATGTTTCCTCCTCCGGGAAGCCCTCCCTAGCTCTGGCAGGATCCAGGAGGACACACCGCACATCTGGCTCCTGAACCCTGATCCAGGAAAGAGGGGAAGCTGGGCCTCACTGGAGGAGACTGAGTTAACAGTGACATGGACCCCAGGGGAAACCCCGGCTCATGCTCTCCCTCACGAAGTATGCTCTGTAAAGTGAGGAAAGACGAAGGGAATGGCTGATCCCTGGCAGCACTGGGGGTTGGGATCCTGGCCATAATTCCCAGCTTCAGGCCAGGCATGTGGCATATACCTTTGATCCCAGAGGAAGAGGCAGGAAGAACTTAATGAGTTTGAGATCAGCCTGGTTTACATTGTGAATTCCAGGCCATCCAGGGTGCATAGTGAGAACCCCTCTTAAAATTTAAAAAGATAATAATTTAAAAACAAACAAAACCTCCCTACTTCTGCATGATCTTGGGCCTTTCTTGATGGTTCCACGCCTCGGTACCGCCCTCAAGCAGGCTCTATGGAGAACACACCACTGGCTACCGTGAGACCCAGTGGAGCAGATGAGTGTGGGGCTTACACGGACCACGGGGGCCTTCAGACCTCCAGGCTCTCTGTCTGAGCTGTGGGAGCAGATCACCCCGAACAAGAGCCCTCTCTCTCATCCACTTCTGTCATCCTGTGCCCTTTGATCTGGGTCCGCCCCTCCTCACAGGGTTCTGGTAGAGGGATAGGTGACTCTTGGGGTAGGGCAGCCCCTCCCAGTCGCACGCCCTGACCCAGTAGTGTATGTCTGGGCCCAGGCACACTTGGCCAGCTCCTGAGCCCTTGCCCCTCTAAGAAGAAATAACCTGTCAGAGGCCACCTGAGGTGGGTGATTTCCTGACCTGAACGATGGGGCTGGGATATCCCTCAGCTTCTGGTGTGCAGGGGGTGAGGACATCTGACAAGAGTGTCATTGCCATTCATTCAGGGAGCCTGGCCAGCGTGGCCATGAGGCAGGAGAGTGGTCAGGAATCAAGGAGGCTAAGTGGAAGCCTGTTGTGGGCTATTGCGTCTCTCTCTGTGTCGTGTCAGTGGTCATCGTTGTGGGACCCTTAGCAAGAGACTCATTCCTCTTGTCAGACCTCAGTTTCTCCTCCTGTAAGGTAAAGAATGGCAAGAATATCCACTCCATGGGGTGGTTAGGAAACTAGCCCTTTGTTATCGTTGTTTGCGTTTTGGAATTTTTGTGACTGGGTTTCTCTGTGGAGCCCTGGCTGTCCTGGAACTCGCTCTGTAGACCCGGCTGGCCTCAAACTCTGAGATCCACCTGCCTCTGCCTCCTGAGTGCTGGGATTAAAAGTGTGCACCACCGCTGACCGGTTCACCAATTTTCTTTAAAGGGCCTTGTGCTCATCAGGTGACCTGGGAGTTCACAAAGGAAAACCATGCAGTGGGGGACAGTGGTCACACGCTGAGACCCAGCCACCACCTACATGGGTAAGACTCCCACTGTACCGCCTGCATATATGTGACAAGTCACCTTACGGTCCCTCTGAGGCTGGTAAGACGGCACAGGTAGAGGTGCCGGCCAGAGCTGACACCCTGAGACAGAGCCCAGGACCCACATGGTAGGGCAAGAGCACACACACACACACACACACACACACACACACACACACACACACGCACGCACGCACGCACGCACGCACGCACGCACGCACGCACAAATAAACAAATCTTTTTAGCCCTCTGCAGAGAGATGTGTGAAGAGTATAGACAGAGTGCTTCTCTCGGATGCTTACAGTTCCTGTAGCAGCCGCCACCCTCAGTCTGACCTCCTCAACTCTGGATTGTCGTGAACAATCACCATGGAGTTGGCGGTGTGGTTTGAATGTGGTCGGTCTTTGCCAAATGTCAGCTGAAGCTTAATCCTTGGTTAACCATAGTGAGAGGTAACAGGTGACTAGAGCAGGAGGCTGGGTAGAGCTGGGTTAGTTCTCACAGGCTGGGTTAGTCTCACAGCTGGGTTAGTCTCACAGCTGGGTTAGTCTCACAGCTGGGTTAGTCTCACAGCTGGGTTAGTTCTCACAGGACTAGGTTAGTCTCACAGCTGGGTTAGTCTCACAGGCTGGTTAGTCTCACAGCTGGGTTAGTCTCACAGCTGGGTTAGTCTCACAGGCTGGGTTAGTCTCACAGGACTGGTTAGTCTCACAGGCTGGGTTAGTCTCACAGCTGGGTTAGTCTCACAGGACTGGTTAGTCTCACAGCTGGGTTAGTCTCATAGGACTGGTTAGTCTCACAGGCTGGGTTAGTCTCACAGCTGGGTTAGTCTCACAGGACTGGTTAGTCTCACAGGCTGGGTTAGTCTCACAGGACTGGTTAGTCTCACAGCTGGGTTAGTTCTCACAGGCTGGGTTAGTCTCACAGCTGGGTTAGTCTCACAGATGGGTTAGTCTCACAGCTGGGTTAGTCTCACAGGACTGGTTAGTCTCACAGGACTGGTTAGTCTCACAGCTGGGTTAGTTCTCACAGGCTGGGTTAGTCTCACAGCTGGGTTAGTCTCACAGCTGGGTTAGTCTCACAGGCTGGGTTAGTCTCACAGCTGGGTTAGTTCTCACAGGCTAGGTTAGTCTCACAGCTGGGTTAGTCTCACAGCTGGGTTAGTCTCACAGCTGCGTTAGTCTCACAGGACTGGTTAGTCTCACAGGCTGGGTTAGTCTCACAGGACTGGTTAGTCTCACAGGCTAGGTTAGTTCCGGTTAGTCTCACAGGCTAGGTTAGTCTCACAGGCTAGGTTAGTTCTCACAGGACTGGTTAGTCTGACAGGCTAGGTTAGTCTCACAGGCTGGGTTAGTCTCACAGGACTGGTTAGTCTCACAGGACTGGTTAGTCTCACAGGACTGGTTAGTCTCACAGGCTGGGTTAGTTCTCACAGGACTGGTTAGTCTGACAGGCTGAGATGCCCACACTATGCACTTGGAACTCAACCTCCACTGCTAGGAGCCAGACAGTCTTCATAAGTTATCCCACCTCTGCTACTCTGTCATAGCAATGGAAAATTCTTGGTAATTAAGAGGGCATACTTTCTTTTTTTTCTAGACAAGGTTTCAGATTGTAGCCCAGGCTAGCCTGGAACTCCCTATGTAGTCCAGGCTAGCCTCAAACTCACAGAGAGATCTTCTTGCCTCTGCCACCTGGAACTGGGATCTCAGGTTTGTGCCAGGACGCACTTGCAGGTGACAGAAGCAGGGCGGAGGACCATCATAGACAGACAGTTACAGTGAGATAGAGGGCCAGGGTGCCCTGCTGGAGGGCGCAGATATTCGGGGTCCCAGTATATTCTTCTCTCTCTCTCTCTCTCTCTCTCTCTCTCTCTCTCTCTCTCTCTCTCGTTTTGTTTCTGAGGCAGAGTTTCTCTGTATTGTTTTGGAGCCTGTCCTGGAACTCGCTTTGTAGACCAGGCTGGCCTTGAACTCACAGAGATTCACCTGTCTCTCTCTGCCTCCCAAGTGCTGGGATTAAAGGCGTGTGCCACCACTGCCTGGCTATCATTTTAATCTTTTTAAAACACACAATTTGACTGGGCTTGGTGGCACATACCCCAAGACTCCAGAGGCAGAGGCAGCGGATCCCTGTGAGTTTGAGGGCTAACCTGATCTACAAAACAAGTTCCAGCACAGCTAGGGATGTTACACGGAGAAATCCTGTCTTGAAAAGCCAAAACAAACAAAACAAAAACTATGCAGTTCAGTTTGTTTCCCCTTAACGAAGCTCTGTGATCACCTCTGGCCTGGCTACTCCATCCTGAGACTGATCGCGTCCACAGAACCCTGGAGCCACGTGCAGTGATGGAATTACAATATGGAAGTTAACAGCCAAGGGGAGAGGGCGGGCTGTTTACAGCTACAAGGGCAGCCCCTCCCTCCCACACCCAGCCATCTCCAGTCCCTTGATGAGGCATGGAAGACATGAACTCCCTCACTCATCAGCAACTCTCTCACCTGAGCGTGTGACATGACTACCTTGGAGATGGTCCAATAGCAGCAATGTCTCCAGATTACCCCTCATTCATATCAAGTGACATGTAGAGCAGTCACAGGAGGGGACGTACTTCTTGGGTCCCGGCTGAAGCACTGTGAGCCACCCTCAGACTCGTCTTACAACCAGGAAACTGAGGCCCAGAGAGGCAGACAAGGCCCCCATGTACATGTGGGCACACTTGACTAAGGAAGCCTGGGCCCTTAGACTCCTTATTGTAATACTGCAGGTTGTTAAAACCCTGAAGCCCGGGACTTGGAATGGGGGTCCACTGGTAGAGTGTTTAGCCTAGCATACATGAAGCCCTTGATTCCATCCAGGGCCACATTATGTGGATATGGTGGCTCACATCTGTAATCTTAGCCCTGAGGAGGTAGAGGCTGGGGGGTCAGAAGTCCAAGGCCATCCTTGTCTACAAACGTGGAACACCCAGGAATCCCTTAGGCCCCTTGCTCCAGTTGCCCTGCTGCCCAGACCCAAATTCCAGTCCCCTTCATGTACGAGCAACTAACAGGTATTGTGAGCCCTAGAGGAAGCCCGGACACCTGATGCTCAGCCACACCCGAGTCCCCTGTGCTGCTCTGGCACAGACAGATGGTCAGGGAGCTGGCAGGGAGGGAAGCAGCCTGGAACTCCCCTTGCCCCCTCTCACCGTACTTCTTGCCCCTGCCTGTGGCCTCAAGGGGGGAAAGCATCTCAGGGCTACAGGTAACTCACCCTTCCTAGCTCCGTTTCCCCTGGGGCCTGCGGTGAGAGGAGGCAGCAGAGGCCGAACAACAGGGCTTTGAGGCGGTATCTGTGGAGGGAAGTGGCGGAGATTAGGGCTTCTCATTTTCCCCACCATCCCAGGAGAAGATAACTGGGTGAGGGGTTGTGACAGTGCTGGGTACAGCCGTCCACCTGCCCCTGGGCTCCCACCGCCCCTCCGTTCTCCAAGACTCCAGGCTGAAACCCAAGGAGCTGCTCGGAAGAACCGTAGAGACTGCAGATAAGGCTTCAGGCTGTGCTGGCCTATGCCCAAACTCGTAAACATCACCCGAACTGCCCTCACCCTCATCCAGATGCACTCCCCTAAGGCGCAGCCCCTGCCTGGGGCCATTCATCCCTACCAGCCTTTAAAAGGGCGTCATGTGCTGTAATCTTACCATATCTCTGGAGGCAGACTCAGGACTGGGGGTTGGCACAAGTTCGAGGCTAGCCTGCACCACACAGCAATACCCTGTGTCGACGTCAGAAAACAAAGCAGTTGGACCTGGATTACCAGGCGAGACCCGAATCCACAATGCCGTCCTCCGAACTCCGCTCGCATGTGCAATAGGCTGGATGCGTGGCTCGGTGAGGTACTCGGCCAGGGCGCGCAAGGTTCCTTCTGCAGCGGCACGTGACGGAGAGAACGCGGGTTTGACTGCCAATGTTGCCTCCCAAAATAAGTGGCTTTGTATCTTAGGGGGCAGGTCACGTCTGGTCCCACAAACACCACGCTGTGGGAAACCCCACAGTGCCTTCTGTCCTTGCTCTCTCTGTCTCCCCTGGCCCCTCTGGAACCCTGTGAAGGCAGGGCTGGTGTATCTTGCATGACCCCCCCCCCCTGCAGCGTCCACCCCTTCGGCAGATTCACCGAGGAGGGGCCACTTGTGGGCCGAGCTGTGGCGGGAGACCCAAGGGTTGAAGCTGCACCTGGCCTGGCCACCCACAGATGCCAAGTGGGTGTCTGAACAAATGAATGAGCCAGCGAGTCAGTCCACTAGTTCTCAGGAGAGGGGACTTCCGCCCCAGCCTGTCCACCCCCGCCCTTCCCCTCGTGGAAGCAGCAGGTGGCTGGGGCACCAAGGACCCGGGGGCAGATGCACTTCTCCCCCTAACCCAGCAGTCCAGAGCTACCTCCATCACATCCATGTAAGCACCAAATCTAATTCTTACAGAAGAACGCAGTGAGGCCGGGTGGTGGCGGCGCACGCCTTTAATCCCAGCACTCCAGAGTCAGTGGCAGGTGGATCTCTGTGGGTTCGAGGCCAGCCTCTGTCTACAGAATTACAGGACAGCCAGGGCTGTACAAAGAAACCCTGTCTTGAAAAGAAAAAGAAACAGAATGGACGTTAGATGGGGAAACTGAGGCCTGCAGGAGGAAGGGTCCCTTCGAGGTCATGGAGTGCAATGAAGCCAATGGGAGTAGGTCTCAGGGGCGAGGCCTGCAGTCCTGGGGCTCCTCAGA